AAGCTCTCTGACAAGCTGCGGGAAGCCACAGAGGTGGGGACCTCTGCCATTAAATTCCCTTTTATTTTTGTGGCTTGGATGAATGTTATTGGCCAGAAAAATGTTGATACCGGGGCTTTACAATGCACCCTCCCAGTCCCTTCCTGACCCAGCCAGGTGATCCTGGACAGTACAAGCACCTCTCTTCCCAGTGCTGCTGTGAACTTAAAGTGAGTCATGTTTGAGATGCCCTTTAAATTTCGGCTGTTCAAAGAGCATGGGGGAGACAAGAGGTGGTCATTGAAACAGCTCCTTCTCTCCTCATGGGGTTACTGATACTAGCACTTCACAGGAGTCTGGATGATGAACGTATATGAGGCTGAAGACCCACAAACACCATCTTGAGGTCATCCCACAACATTTTTGTATTTCCTAACCACTGATGACTTGGAGTCACTTTACTGCAGGTTCTCAGAACTGCAGTCACAGTAGCCTCAGGGGAGACAAGGACCCATCTTGATACATCAACATTAAACCACATTTACTGTTTGTGAGTAAGTGGTTTTATTTTGGGATCTTACCATCTCAAATTACTCCCTCAGACTCATAAAAGGTTTGCTTTTGGAATGTCCACAGGGGAGGATGATTTCTGGCTTTAGATTTTCCCCATTCAGGTCAGAGACCCACCACCCGGTCCAACCTCCTCTTTGGCTCTGAGTAGAGAAGGTGGTGTCACCCATGCAGTGGCCCTCTAAGCTTCTCGCTGATGCCTGCTTACCTTTAACAGCCAAATGACAACCTCCACTCTCTTCTTTGCAGGGCAGAGCTCCCCTTTCTGAAGAGGCGGGTCCCAGACCTGCGGAAGACGCTTGTACTGCACACAGGGGGATGGTGCTAAATGTCAATTCTGATCAAAACCCTTGGTTCACCCATCAGTAAGTGAGGAGAAAGACAAGCATGTCTGTCCTCACTGGCTAACGTCCTCACAAGGGAAAAGACAACAAAGAGACCAAACACCCAACCAAAAATATACCATGGAGATACAAGGCTTCTCTGTGAGAGAGCAAACCCACTCTTCTCTCAAGCACTACTTTAGCCATGCAGGTATTTTGTAATTGTGGTATGGATGGAAGAGGAGGACTGTCTTGCATGTTGGTTACACCGAGACTTGATGTATGGTTGTGAGAGTGTCACTGCTTCTAAATGTTAAGGGCAATACTGAAAACTGGAAGTTTCCCAGAGAGGTGGTGGAGGTCCCATCCCTGGAAACATTCCAGGCCAGGCTGGACAGGGCTCTGAGCAACCTGATCTAGTTAGCGGCATCCCTGCTCCCTGCAGGTGGGTTGGACTAGATGACCTCTAGGGGTCCCTTCCAACCCAAAACTTTCTATGATTCTAAGATAACTTTTTCCTACATCACCTTTTCTGTGTTTTGTTCTTATGGAGAGGGCTCTGTAATAATGTCTTAATTTTCTGCAGTCTGTTCAATACCAAGCCAAACAGATATTAAGCAAAATTAAGTGGTGCTTGCAAAGGAATTACTTCATAACAAGCAGAAGCTGATTACATTAGAAATGGCTGACATTGGCACACTTTGTCTATTTGACCAGGAGTTTACAGGTTCCCCATACTGTAAAGAGTGAGCTTGGAGAGATGGATTCTTTTTTTTTTTTTGTAGCGTAAAGTGGAAATGAACATTTCATGGGGTTTGAGTATAAGGTAGCAGAGCATTGAAACTACTGCTTGTGGTTTCACAGTAAAATAGGCTAAACCATTTACATACACTTAAGGCACTGTAGAATGTAGAGCGCCAATAAGCTTTCTGTTTTCTTTTCCTTTCATTAACCGGTATTGCTCTATAAAGTGATGTGGTATTTCTTGTCGCTCACATGTGTTTAAGAGTCAAATAAAACCACCTCAGAACTCCCTCGGCTGACTGTGCTGTTTCGAAGATCACTTGTCATGGTCATCGCCAACACTTGTCACTAACATAGCCAAGCTATGAGCAGCATTTCGGGAATAAGTTCGTGCCTTTGGAGTGGATTTTAGCAGGGGAAATCAGAGCGACCTGGAAGCAGGTTGTGCTCAGAAGATGAAGCAAGGTGGAGGGGGATTTTCTGAGCCAAGCTGAGGTCCGAGAGATGCTGCCCTCAGCCCCTTCCCGAGGGCTTCCAGCCTGAGAGGTTGTGAATCGGGGAAACAACATTGGTCCATTCTGGAAACCCACTCAAGAACTACTATGGGGAAGTACCTGGCGATCACTGCCACGATGGACCAGCTCCCTCTGGATGCTGGACACCAGTAACAATACACATGTTTTTCAGCTAAACAGCTGGAAAATAATTTCTTCACTGTGCATAAACAGTTCAAACCGTTGTAGGGAGGGACATTAGAAAAACCAGCTTGAAGTAAATCTCGTTTTCAAATAAAAGGCAAACAGGAGCAGTGCTCACTCAAGTGGTGGCCATACTTCGGAGAGGGCTGTATGGGCAGTTAAATCTGTAAACCCTGAGCTGGGAACAAAGACAGCGGTTTTTCTCTCCCTTCTGCAGTCTTTGCGCTGGGAAATCTCCGCGTCCTTCTGCAGG